GCCTCACTGGGGTGCAAAACGCACCGGCCGAGCCGAGCCGAGCCGAGCCGAGTTTTAGTAGTTGCCTCCTCACGTTGCTGCGTTTGATATAGCAATGTTGAAGAGGCGGGCACAGATCTTACAACTTGATGTTATTTGTATCTTCAAATTGCATTGGCATCCTCTTTCAGCTGCTACTGAGGTTATTTACGTTTTTTTAGGATTTGTTGATCTCAAGATGGGTGCGGGCCCTTTAGTTTTCGAAGTTGGGGTTGTATTTTTGCTGACAGTATTACTTCTGAACAAATATGGCAATTGGCGGCAGCAGCACTGCATTGTAACGATCTCAACATTCATTGGCTGGTTCTTCTCGTTCATCATTATTTTCATTCTTCCGCTGGATATTTCTATTGTAAGGTTTTGTACAGACAAAATTTCTACTATTTCATCAAGCTGATTTCCCAAAAAGCCTTCTAACTTTGTTATGCCATCAATAATTTTTAAATGCATAATGGGGCGGCTTTTTCAATGCTTTGAGGTGCACTGAGAAGCAGCTTAACGAAGGTTGCTGAAAATTTAGCGGTAATTCTTTGAAGTTTGTCGGAACTAATAAAAGCTAGGAATGCTAATGTACCAAGTGAGAATATAAAACCATGAAACATCGCGAGGGATATTATTTGCATGTTGATTTTGCAGACATTTTATAATCGCTGCTTATTGGAAGAGAGACATTCAGCCGCTGAAGAGGAATTCCAATTCAGAAACATTACAGAATTATCGTGTAAAAAGCCAGATGGCTTTGTGCCAGATTTTGTTCTGTTACGAATGTGGCGAATTGTTTATTGGACATCGCAGCTGCTCACATGGTGAGTTCTCATTGAACAGAATTGTCGGGATTGTTAGAAACTGCGACTTTTCTTTTTAAATATATTGTTTAAAAAATTTTTTTAGCGATGTTTTGGATCCTTTTATTTAGTTTTACAATAAATTTGCGGAAAATTTCTTAAAAAATGCCTCAGAAATAAGCCAAAAAAAATGAAAATCTTCGCTGTTTGAGAAAGTAGTCAAAAATAGTCCGTTTTACTTTAACTTCTCAAAAATAGCTATCCGCTGCCAATGAATCTCGTTCCCGAGCGCTGCTGAAGAAGCAAGCTGGGGCGAGCTTGACTTCGTACAGTGCGTTTTTACCAGTTCCTCATTGAATCGAATTCGATGAAACGTAGAAAAATTGCCACTACACCGAGCGCTTCAGCTCAGTAAAATTCACTTTTTCATCAGGATTGTGTTACCATTAATGCAAAGTTACTCAAATGCTGGAGAGTTTACGACTGTTGGAAAATTACGCTCTGCACTGTATAGTAATGTCGCATATTATGGCACATATCTTCTTGTCTTTTTCATGCTGGTTGTTTATGCGGCCGTTAAAGGAGTAGTCTTGAATGCGTAAGTTTCTTTTTGTAATTTCTTTATGAATTTGCTTAATAATTTGTGATTAATCAAGCAAGTAGATGCCAGCAACTAGCAAGTTTAGAAGGCATTTTTTAAAAGCATTGTGCTAAGATTACTTGCTTTCCTGGGCAGATCCATATGGTAAGGCATTGTTATGCGTTTTTTTTGCATCTGTGCAATGCAAAAACGGCTATTATCGAGAAGTTGTCTGTGTTTGTGTTTGTGTGTGTGTGCTTGTGTGTGTTTGTTTGTGTGTAATGAGTTTTCATTTCGGGATCCACAAAAACTAAAGGCTGAAACTTTGATAACTTATTCTTCACATACGTGGGGACTCCCATTTTCAAAATAAACGCTCAGGTCCGCGTGATTCTCACGTAGGGGCACGTGAACGTCTTTTTGACGGGGGAGCGTTTTCGGGAACGGCGCAGGCTAGGAGGCTGGAACTTCATAGAGATGTTTCTTGGCCTCATCCAATCCAGAAGTTTCAAATTCAGCCTTCACACACCCCTAGAACTCACGTACGCATACGCCAAAGTCTAAACTGGCATCATGCCAACTCCAGATTTAAGCTGACCAAAAATTCGTAGAGAGCTGCAGTCTTGCAGTTTTACTTGTCATCCACTAGTGTGCCAAACTGAATTTAGCTTCCCAGCCTCTTTGCATCTCACGTACGGACAAGTGAAAATTTCACACATGCACTTTTGTAAATTCAGAATTGAAGTAGCTACAGGACTGGAACTTCTGAGCATAACCGACGATGGCATTTGACCAGATGGACGCAAAAACGACTAGCACATCATTTTCACTTCTCGCATATGCCTAAACGTACGTCTCACGCACGAAAAAGTGAAATTTATCGTAACTCTGCAACCAAAACATCTGGAATGCTGATAATTTCTGAACGCTGCCTAGGACTGTGTTTGGGCAATCGCATGCGAAGACAGCATTCAAGTTGCAACCCACATATGAACACGTTAAATTTGACGTAACTCAGCAAAAAGAGTATTGAATTTTTTGGGCATGGATTGGGAGTCATTGTAATATTTTCTAACAGTCGTGGTGGTACCCTTAGTTTCTTAGCTGGGAAAATAGCGCCATTAGCAATAAAAATCTGCAGGGGAACTGTGCAAAAAACGCATCTTCGCACCGGCAGTCGGTGCGCTTCCGACTAAGTGATGTTACTAGAATGTTCTGCTTGTCAGTGTCTAGCTGTTCTTTCCCAAGCTGCACGCCTTCATTTAGTGCCTGTTGCCTGTGCGATGTACATGTGCCGGCAGATTACTTTTTAAAATTATAGTAGAGAAATTTTAGTAGACTTTTTTTTAAATTTTAGCAGCGGTAAAAATAGTAGAGATATTTTTTCATTGCTGCCAAACTTGTCTCCATCCTTAATGTCTAGTGGGGCCTATTCTAGTGCATACTGCTAACTTCTCCGTAAGTTCTCCTTTACATGCATATGCTATATTCTGCATCACTTATTATTCTAGTTGAATTCTGCATAGTCTACCAATTAGTTGCCTTTTTTTGCGCATGCCTGTGAATTTGTACATTCATTAAGCAGTGGTACTTGTCGCATTTTCGTTAACAATTCTTGGCCCCGCCAAAAAGATTATTGACGCGGAAAAGGGATTATCATCACTGCAAGTAGTTACTGCCTCAGACACTAACTTCGAATAGCACTCGAGTTTTCCACCATCACATGGTTAGACCTGTGGATGCATTGTTCTTTTTTAGGAGTTGTTTAAAGCATGTCTAGTACATCAGGCCAAATTACCATTAAAATAATTCTGCTTTCACAAATTATCTTTATTTCCTTGCAAACTGTTTCTTTTTATGCGTTTTTTGCAGCAATGCAATGCGAAAAACGCATATTGATGAGAGGTTGTCTGTGTG